ATTTTCTAATTTTGGTAAAAACCTAAATTTTATTTTGTCACATTTTATATCCAATAAAATCAAACTTCCACCATGCTGTTTTTTAGATCATGGGTGGTCTTTTCTATTTGAAAGCCCCCATATTAACAAAATGGGCAGTGTTTTTTTTTTTTCAAACAAAATAGATTTATTTCAAGTTTCAAGATGACATGTAAATTAATGGATTAAATTTTTTATTATGTTTAATTACAATGATTTTATAAAGACCTTGAAATAATAATTATACTTGATGAAATTTACATAAAGAGAATCAACTGGTAGCCATAATTTCATTTCAGGAGGTAATTCTTCTTCAGCATAAATTTAGCAAAATATACTCTTCTTATCTACAATTAGCATGTATTTGTACTCTTGATGTTTCAACATAATTAGTGCTATAAGCATAATGTGTAAAATCAGCAAGATATAATTGAATCTGATTCCATCCTTCATATAAACACATTGGCATTGTACAAATATAAGGTTTTACACAAGTAACTGACTAAAATTACCAAGAAAAAAAAAGTTATTTCTAATAAATAAATAAATAAATATATATATATATACGAGAAAAAGATAATTATTACCTGATAATTTGATGCTCTAAATCTTCTTTTAATGTTCTTATCATCCAATATTTGAATTTCAAAAGTAAAATATTTTTTCATATTTTTAACTATAAAAACAAGGATTGGTAGTTTTATACCAAGAGTTCAATTAAGTTGAGCAGGACAAGTTATATATGTGGTGGCAACGTTTGGCAAGGTAATTTCAATGACCATGGAATTTATATCCTCATCAATTATACATGTAACATGACTTTCTTGGTAGTCTTTGCCAGTTTCAGTATGCCAAATTTGGAGAGGTTTATTACTAGGAATTTATTTTGAGAAGACAATAAATAATAGTATATGGGGCATACTGCAACAAAACCAGACAAAGTGAACATTGATATTACCAAGAATTTCAGGGATCAAAATTTGGTCATTAGTAATGTGATCATAATTAATAGTTTTATAATATCCCATTTAGTGATATATAGAACTATCCCTATATAAAAATAATTAATATGAAACTCATTTATATCAGATCTACCATGGAACCAAAGAATTATAGCACAATTAGAAGTGTTTTGAAGAAAGAACAAGGAGAAAAGATCGCACCTTATGTTTTCAAAATAAATGATGCTCAGACACCGGAAACTTATCTAAGAAAAGAATGGATTATCTATGAAATTTACCAAGAAGAGAGAAAAATAATAAGTATTGGAAAAAGAAAGCAGAATTAAAGTGTACTATTACCCAACAAAAAGCAAAAATCATCAGAAGGAAAATAATCTAATTGTTACAATATTGATTTTTTAATTCTTTTAATGACATAAATCATGGCAATTATAAAATCTAAAAAAGTTATACCTACTATTCATAGTCAGATTTATCATCATTAGTGATCACTAATAATCATAATTTCCTTTATTCTTTGAAATATTCATCAGCAGCTTTGGTAAAATCTTCATCTTTAAGTCAGAGATAGTAGTTTTAACAGTAATATTGTAGCTGTTTATTTTGTTATCTTTGGATTATCATCAAGAGGAAAATTTCCTCAATCCTCTTTAAATTACTTTCTTATTTTCAATCAAGGTCACTTTTTAACTTCAACTAGAGTAGCAAGTAATAGATCAATAATCACCACCACCACCTTTTTTAATGGGTATGTATTACTTTACTGACAATCACTTTACCAACATATTATTTTACCAACAATCACTTTACCAAAAGTTCATTTTACAAAAGTTCATTTTACTGACAGTTCATTTTACCAACAATTCATTTACCAATGGTTCATTTTACCAACAATTACTTTACCAACAATTACTTTACTGACAGTTCATTTTACCAACAGTTCACTTTACCAACGGTTCATTTCACTGACAGTTTATTTCACCAACAGTTCAAGTTTACATGTATTTTAGGTGAGAATGTTTAAAATAATTCATAACTTGCAAATCTAATTCAGATATTATTAAGGTTCCACTAACAACTATATAAACACAAATTTTTCTTTCTGTATTAATAATGTCACCAATTATTATTTGGGAGAGCATGTTAATCGATGATAACACTATAAATTTATGATTATGTGGTAACAACAATACAAAACAAAACCATTCACACACATCTGCATAATTAATAAACCCTTTAATATCATTGATAAACTCACTGACAATTTAATACATGATGTGAAAATGAACTGTCGGTAAAATGAACTGTTGGTAAAATGAACTCTTGGTAAAGTAATTGTCAGTAAAGTAAATGAATTGTCAGTAAAATGAACTGTTGGTAAAATGAACTTTCGGTAAAGTGATTGTTGGTAAAATAATATGTCGGTAAAGTCAATGTCTCCCTTTTTAATATACAGGAAAAAACAAATACAGTCAACCCTCCATAAGTGCACGGTCTCGCCTGGTCCCAAGGGGGGTGCACTTATGGAGGGTTGACTGTATGTATAATTCTAATTTTTATAAATAAATATATAAATAAACATATATATAAACAAAACAAACATATGCATAATAATAATAAAATATATAATAATAAAAAATGATCATAAATTTATAAATATGTTTTTTTTAAACCTCAAAAAAAAAACTAATAAAATTAATCATTATTTGAAGAAAAAAACTATTCACTTCAAGAATGAATTTTTCACTCATTTTTTTGATTTTTTTTTTTATAATGATTTTTACCAATCCCCTATGAAGAATAATTTTTTTAAACTTTTGATTTCTACCTGCTCTTATATTTTTAATAAAGAAAATTCGTTATAAATTTAATAATATAATGATAGTATGATTATGAATGAATATATGATATTAACTCATATGGTACGAAGATGTTGAAATAAGTAAAATATTTTTATTATAGTGCAGGACACCTAGTCCCACAACTTTTTATTGGTCTTGTATATCCTTTAGTATACCAGAAATGGAAATGTAACACCAAAAAAACAAAACATGATTTTGAAGCTAAGACCTTTCTCCACAAAGCTACGATTTCATTTTGTTGATATGTCACATTACCATGGAGAGATCAAGCCTCAAAGTTGCACAAATTTACTATGTTAAGCCCAAAACTGTCGCGTTACACGCGATTTATATATATATATAAATGAACAAATCGAAACAAAATAAAAGTTTTAGTTGATGATCACATCCATATTAGGTAACCCAATGTTTTATTCTTATTGCCGATTTTACTATTTATGGAATGACTAGGAAATATCACATGACAAAACAATTTTTATTGCATTTTTGATTCCCAAAATTCGTCGTCGTGGCGCAGTAAGTTGCGGGATTAGGTGTCCTGCACTGTACATTCTGTGAAAATCGTATTTTTCGCAAAAACCATCCGCAAATTTGCGCAGCATCATGAAAATATCCAGTTTTATTGGTTGTGTGCGTGTTATCCTTATTTAGAAATTGATTTGGCGATTTGCGGATGAAAAATACATTATCACCATTCTGTGCTCAAATAAAAATGCTTCTCATCATCAGTCAAGTTTTGAAATTATAACATTTTATTGTTTCATTTCTTTTAAAATTTTGGTCAATAGATTTAATCTACTATACTCATCATGCAAAACAAACCTTTTAAAGGATCGATTTTGGAAAAGCCGCACAATGTCCTCACAAGCAGAATTTAGTGGTTGTAACTGTTGATTATCCGAATAATCATTCGGCCAAAGCGAATTTATACTAACCACCACGTTTTAGAGAACATTCTTGAAAATGGTGAATGATGTTACTGAATGAGGAGCTAGATGTCAAAGCTAATATAAAAATGTATTTTAGTATGCATTTCGTAACTTGGAAAGTTAGAATTAAGTGTTAAAGAATGGCACTACAACAAGAATTTAAGAAAAAAATTGAAAATTACATACGAAAACAAACTCTTGTTTGAAGGCGACAATAACAAAAAGTGGAATCAACCCATCTAAATCACAAAGAACAAACTGCTTAAATATTTCACATCCCGTCTTATATCACTACATTTTATACTTGATCCTTCTCCAAGAAGATTTGAGCCAAAAAAGCACACCAAACCTGTGTTAAGTGGAAGTGTGTAGATGAACATTTAAATATTTTGCAATAAAACGGTGAATATTAAAATTGCTTATAAAAATTAAAATTACTATTCTCAAAAAAAACTTTTTCGACTTCTTCACTAATAATAAATTAAAATTTCGCCTTTTTCCAAAATAAATTTATAAAAAGATATTAAAATGTCATTTAATAAATTATTACCATCAGAAATAAGGGACGTTGTATATAAAATTAATCATGAAATGTATAACATTGCTCTGACCAACTCTGAAAGAGAAAGTCAAAGTTTATTTTTTTCATTAGTCAAAGAATATAATGAGCTTTTTGAAAATGAAAAATAATTTTTGTAAAGAACATTATATTTATTGGATGAATTAAATAGTGCAATTTATAAAAGAAGGCGATGTTACTGAGCTAGATGCTGAAGCCAACATGAAACTGGATTCTAGTATGCATTTCGCGACTTGGAAAGTTAGTATTAAGTATGCTAAACAAATGTGGCACAATCTGTTTTTTTTTATCTGTAAAAGATTAAGTTTCTTAAATCAGCAATGGTTTAAAAAGAAAGGTACAAGTCTTAATTGATATCATATATACAGTTCACACTCTCTATAGCGAATCTTCCGTCCCTATATGTAATTTTTCTGCATTTGTTCGTTATAGAGAGAGATTAATTATAAAAAAATGAATCAGAACAAAAGGGAAGTTAATTGTAGAGAGTTTACTTAGTGTTCGTTATAAAGAGAGCGAACTGTATGCGTTTTTTAAGGATGCAAGAAATTCTGATTGGTTGATTAGAATTTCGCAAAAGTCACTGTTACGTTTTCGGTTTAAAACTTTAAAAACTTGTTTTATCCATAAATAAGGTATTTATAGCAATAGCACACAACATTGTTTCTAACAATGGTCGCCGATCATTATATACAAAGACTGAATCTTAATATTAATAGAAATCCTCACTGAATTAATATTTATTTGAATAAATAAATCTAAAAACTTAGCGTGTGGTTTTAGTTTATATACCATTTTTTCCATTTTTATAATTTTGTAATCATATAATAACTTATTTCATTGACTTGAAAGTTTTGAAAAAGACATCTTTTTAAATATAGCTGGTTTTTTTTTTGTTAATACTAGTTTGATAATTAAATTACTGTTGTAATTTTTACAAATGTCAACAAGTAAAATTGAAGAAATCTATCAACATATTAATAAAATAAATGAAAAAATTCCTTTACAACAAGAAGAGATGGTTATAATTATTGGTGATACAGGAGAATGGAAAAGTTCTCTCTTAAACTATTTAGCTGAAGTTCCCCTGTTTGTTAAAAAGGGAAAAGGTTTTGGTAGGTTTGTTATTTATGCTGAAAATCCTCTAGGAGATAGTGAGATTACCGATGGATGTGTTTCAAAAACTTCTTTGCCATCAGGTTGGAAAGAGTATTGGGTTTGTCCTGGTTTTGGGGATACACGTGGTGAGGTCCAGGATATTGTAAATGCCTATTCAATTTACAAGTTAATCAAGAGTGCAAAGAAAATAAAGGTTTTGGTCACTGTTTCTGAGACTACAATTACAGGGTCAAGGAGTAGAAGCTTCTTAAATCTTATTCATAATGTAGGAGAAACTTTTAAAAACACAGATGAGGATAAGTTAGTTCAAGGGTTATGTCTGGTAGTAACAAAAAATGAGACTCTTAACTTGAAGAAAATGAGAAATGGCTTGCTTGAGATTCTTGAGGAACAGGATGACCAAGAAAATTTCAGTCTAACTCAAAAAAAAATACTTGGTTCTTTATCTTCCCCTGAAAGTCAAATTGTTTTTTTCAATGCACCTACAGGAGAAGGTCTTATTTCTGGTGAGGGTAGATCTCAAATCTTGGAAGGTATAAAAAAGATTTCTTATTTGGAAAAACCAGAACCTAGTATTTCTATTCCAGCTGAATCAAAATATCTTATCAAAAATTTAGCAGATAAACTTAACAATGACATAGAAAATTTTATAAAACATAAATTTTATCCAGGAATTCTTGGTAAATTAATAGATAATCATTCAGGCACAGTTAAAGAATTGAGAGAGTCTCAGTCTTTAAAGTACTTTTGTGATCAATTGAACAAAATATCTAATGAACCACAACAATTTGAAAATAATCTTTGTCAAATTTCCTCAATCACTAAACTCTTCCAAAGAAAAGAACTTGAAGAGGAATTTGATAAAAAAATTTTACAATTAAAATTCATTAAGCTTATTAAACCAGAATCACTTGAAATTAAAGACAATACTAGTAGCTGGCATATAAATCTATTCAGGACATAGGTATGCTAACATCACCTGAAAAATATCAACAAGGACACAAGTTAATTTTCAAAGGCCTAATTGTTGGAGCTGAGGATATTAATGATGCTATGAAAGGTCAAGAACTATCTGAAGTAAATGTGTATAGCTTGAATAGTTTATTTATTGATGAAGATATAATTGCACCAGGAGTTAATTTGACATTAATGTCTCCCAATTGGTATGTTGTAGGCAAAAGAAAAATTAGTTTAAAAGGTAAACCTGGCACTTGGCACCAACTAAGTAAAGCAGTTGATGGAATTGATGAAATCAATGGAAATAAAGAACTGATTGATCAAAACGATGAAAATAGTGAACCAATTGATGAAAACGATGGAAATAGTGAACCAATCGATGAAAGAGGTGGAGAAGATGGATTACCTGGGTTGCCTGGATTGCCTGGTAAAAATGGAGGGGATTTCTATGCCAAAGGAAAAAAATTTTTCAATCTTTCTTCCTTAACTATTGATGTTAGTGGTGGAGATGGTGGACAAGGTCAAGATGGTGGTAATGGTGGCAATGGACTGGATGGTTCACATCATGGAAAAAAAATTGTAGAGAGATGAATCTGCTGTTGTTTCAAGGAAAAAAGTAATAGAAAACATCATAGTAAAGGGGTTTAAATTTCTTTTCACCTTTAATAATATATTTAAAGAAACATTTGTAAGTTATGATCCAGGACATAAAGGAGGAAGTGGTGGACAAGGAGGGGAAGGAGGCTTTGAAGGGAAACCTGGCTTTGTAGTCATTGATAGTCCATTTCAATTATCTGGAACTCCGGCTATTTCTAAAGTAGAGAGTAAGAAAGGTGTAAATGGAACAGGAGGGAAACCAGGAAAAGGTGGAAAAAATGTAAAATATTGTGGGGTATACATTAATGAAATGGTAATTCCTGAGATTAGAGGGTATAATGAATTTGGTATTGAATCTACTAAAGGAGCAATAGGAACAGGGATAGCAACAGCCACAGGAGGTGTTGTTGCCAAAGCAACAGCCAAAGAAATAGTTGTACAACAACCAGCCCGAATAACTATGAAGGAGGGGACAAAGCAATTAGTCTCAAAGGGGTGATGGTGGCAAAGTTCATCTGTTATAACAGCAGAAGGTAGTAAGGTAGCAATGCAAGAGGTATCTAAAGGCACTCTTAAGATTGTTTCTCAAGAGGCAGCTGAAAAAATAACAAAAGAAGGAGGCGAAGTTGTAGTAAAAAATTTTTTAAAAATAGGTGCTACTGAATCAGGTAAACATGTTGTAAAAGTTGGTGCTTCTACTGGTGCTTCTCTGATCAAAGGTATGGGCATAGGCTTAATATTCCAAGCGGTGGCATCTTCATTAAGTGCATATTTATCAAGTCATTGGGAAAAAGAGGTACACAAAGTAGATTGTGGATATGCTCCTAATGGAAAATCATCCAACTCATTTAATGGCCCTGAAATTCAAAAACCTTCTAAACTTTTCATAAACAAATATAAGAATGTTTGTTATAATGATTTTTATGCTCAGAGGAAAAATGATCATCTTCTTCCTGATGGTAAGTTTATTAAAGAACTGAACGTGGAGTTTTTATCAAAGAAAAAACTGTTACAAGTTACTTAATTAATATTATTGTATTATTTATTATTACAGTGTGTCTCGACCTTGATTTTATATCCAATAGAATTTATGATGATTGTAATATTGTTTTTACAGATCCTTCGTCGACATCCAGCTAGAGTTCTGCAATGGGTCAGGTTCCAAAATTGTTACCATATTTCTTTTTTTTTTTCTTGACAAAAAAAAATTTCATATCATTCAATAAAAAAAGGAAGGTATATCATGCTTAATGCCAAAAACATGGAAATCAAAAAAAAGAAAAAATAATAAAAAAAAGGAGGTTTGGTATTCCTATGATATATAGCAAATCCGAACAAAGTAAATCCTACGGAATATATAAAAGGCCTTTAAAATTTTTTATGTAGGAAACTGGGATTCTAAGAAAATTAAAAATGTAAAAATATACTGTTTCAAATTACTACTAATCCATTTCAAAGATATAGACAGACACCTATGCTCTTTGCGGTAAATTGCATCTCGTCATGTAACATTTCGTCAGGTGTCATTAATATGAGCTCCCGTTATAATGACTTTCTCGTCATACTGACATTTTTTTACTTGTACGGAGAGTGTTGTTATAACGGGAGCGATTTGTATTATGATATTTACAATAATTAATTCGTTGTTATTCGTAATCAGTTTCGTCGCCCATAATTAGTTTCGTCACTCGTAATACGGTAATTAATTTCGTAATTATGTTTTTAAAGAGGAAAATATAATTAATCACGATAATTACGTATTACGTACTTACGGTAATTAGGCAATCGCCATCCCATGTATAGTGTTAACAACGATTTGCATAGAAAGTTTTCACAATAGTAATAGTAATTAATTCGTCGCCGTAATTAATTACGTAATTACGTTTTTGAAGAGTGAAAGTGATAATTAATTACGTTAATTACGAATTACATATTTACAGTAATTAGATAATTACCATCCCACGTATACTCCTTTATGATTTTGGGGAATGAAAAGAAGAGCATTCCTATTTTTGTAAAAAATGCACAGTACTACTTGTGATTTTAAAGAATTGACACATAAGGCGTCGAGATAAATGTCTCGTTAATTGCGCAAAGGTATCAAGCTTACAATTTAATGTAATGTAACATGAATTAAAAAATAATGGTACTGCTTTAGTTTGTGATTATAAATGAAAAAAGTTCATGTGAACAAAAACAATTTTTTTCGAAAAGAAAGCTGAACACTTTTCAAATTGTTATTAATGTCAATTTTTAATGTTGATTTACTGCCACTACTTCTGGTGGTGTTGTTGCAAAAAAAATCAAACTTGTTATCGTAAAATCTAATGCTAATGCATTCCACAATAATTTACTTAAATAACTATTCAAATCAAAACCAGAAGACGATTTCTAAATAAAGCAAAATATGTGAAGAAACCAATAGAGAGATAAAAATACTGTACAAAACCCAGATGTAATTATCTCGTTTATCTTGATTGTCCTTATTCTTCTTACATTTAAATTTTTGCAAAATTCCTTTCAAATTATTTTTTCCTTTCATTTCAAGACCATACTTAACTGCACCTAATGAACCGATTAATGATACTATTGAAATAATTATGATCCATGATAACATCTCAGTTGTGACTCTATCATGATTTCTACCTAAAAAAGCTAAAACTAAACATAATTTGAGAAATACATATACGAGAGCTGAAAAAACAAATAAAAAGTCTATCCACTTGATCCACTTGTTACTAAAATAAAAAAATGTTAATTTTATTTATAAATGTAAATAGAAAATCAAGGTTTTTTAAATTCATACCTATCACTATTAATATTACTATCATTCTCTTTGATCTTTTTTCCTTGATTTTTCTAAATCTTTTTCATGATTAATTCCAGTTCCTTTATTTCCTTTCTCCAAATCTTCTGCTACTGTTTCAGGCTTAATTTCAATTTTCTTTGGTTTAAAATAGGTTTCCATACTTATTAACTCTGTTATCCCTGCTATGAAATTTACAACGCTGTAGCATATAAATGCTATCGTTCATTCAGCATTAGACTCGATAATGCTTTCAAGAGCCAAAAAAGAGTAAATTACTATGAATGTTGTGTATGAACGTATGAAAAACCTTGCAACAAACCTCGCAACTAATGCGAAGCATGTGGTCTTTAAATCCTTGGAGAAAGAAAGATATGCAAATAATGGTAAAAGTAATGATAACAAGGTATCAAGCAAACTATCTCCCCGAAAACAATCATCGCCTATAGACGCTGCTTTAGTAATAGCAATAAACTGATTGATAATGAAAAATATTATGATTTTTTTCATCATTCAATGATTCTAAGGTCTTCTTAGAATCGAAATTCATTTCTACATTAAAAAGAAACTTAAATTAATGTGTAGCAAATTATCCACTTCAAGTAACTAATTCTTTTAATTAAAATGTTACAAAAAAGGATTTTAATATTACTGTCCGTTTTACAAATTTTATAGAAATACCTAACATTAAATATTTATCAATAAATATTAAACTTAACATTTAGCATTTAATATTAAAACACAATTTTTTGGGAAGCATGAGATTAAAGAAAGCTGTTAAAGTTTTTTGTGTTGAATCACAAAATTTTTAACAAAAAATGTAACGAGAAGTACGTTATAACGCGATTTTACTTGGTGTCTTTATATAGGAAGGGTCGTTATAGAGAGAGCCGTAAGATAAAAACAATTTGTTGATGAGTTGGAGTTTGGTGGAAATTCCATATTGGAAATCTAAAGACAAGTTTCACAACAATCAGCACCTTATTGGTTCAATGGGTTGTTTGACATTTTAGGATGGTAATCTATCAAAAAAATTATTTGAACCGTCGTGTACTTTTGTAACTTAACACACAGATTATTGATAAAAACAGGGGAATATGCAGATAATTTGCATAAATCTGTTATAAATTCTTTTTTGTATGGCTCACAGGCACCAATTGTAGTCAGCATATTTTTTCTTGTATGGTTCATGGGCGGGCACTGGTGTAATTAACTTATCGTTTCTTCGTTCCTTTATATACTTACTAATAAGTAATATTAGCATATTTCTCGAATACGTTTTAGGATAAAGATGTAACATTATTATTATTGTGGCATTCGATTTACGGCTTTGCCATTAATTTCATTCATTGACACCTTATAATAAACAATGTAGTACATGGATCGAGATGTAAAAAAATTTTAAATTTTTAAAAATTTTTAATAAAAATAAAATGGTTAAAATTACACATTGTATATTTGACATGGATGGTTGGTATTATAATATATATGTTTATAAAATATAGATATATAAATTGTATAAATTAGTTTTTTATTTTTAATATAATTTTTATCTGAAAGGATTGTTGTTAGTAAGTGATTTGTAATTCTCTCTCGCAAATATGTACAATTATACACAAGTGCTACTTTTTATTTTAAAATAAACAATACTAATTAGTTTTTTTTCTTCTTGTAATGAATAAATGATATAGGATACAGAACGTATCTATAGTGAAGTTGCAAGTAGGATTAAATTTTGATTTTATCAAATTCAGTTTATTTATTTTTTATTAAGTTCAATGAATTTATTTTATTTTATTAAAGCTGAAATGCTTTCTCGTTACAATCAACCTTATACTTGGAAACTTAAATCACAAATAATGGGTCTTAAAGAATATGATGTAATTCAATTTGAATATAATTATTTAATAAGAGAAAAAAATCATAATTATTCATTAGTCATGAAAATTTTTTTTTATATTTTTATATAAAGGCAGTTTCATTAATAATCAAAGAAACTGGGATTGATATGAGTATAGAAGATTTCTTGAAAGAACGAAACCAAAAACAGGTCTTTATGAATAATCTGAAATAAATTTATAAAACTTTTTTTTAATTTATATTATTTTCAAAAAAAAGATTGAAAAATTTCCATCTGCAAAACCATTACCAGGAGTCATGGTAATAAATATTAATGAATATTTTATAATAATAATAAATAAATAATTTGTTAATTTGTTTCATTATTCTTAATTTTTCTAATAGAGGCTTGTAAAACATTTAAAAAGCAATAATATACCAATCGTGGTAGCAACAAGTTCTCATAAGTACAATTTTGAAATAAAAGCTAAAAATAATCAAGAATTGTTTTCATTGTTTGATAGCATAACTTGTGGTGATGATCCATTAATAAAGCATGGTAAACCATCACCTGATTTATTCTTATTAGCATGTGAACGATTAGGCAATCCACCTGTAGAAAATTGTTTAGTATTTGAAGATGCTATCAATGGTGTTAAAGCTGCTTTAAATGCAGGGATGCATGTAAGTTGTTATTTATACATTCATATATTATATATAAATGGCTATTAATATTATCATTATTATTATTAAGGTTGTTTGGGTTCCTGATCCTCATTTAGTTGAGTTGTATCCTGAAAACTATGGAGAAACAGAAAAACTTGATTCCCTGGAATTATTTGATCCAAGCAAATATGGATTGCCTCCATATTAAATTTATTTTATTTTATTTTAGATCAGTAAATTATTTTTGATTTATTTATTGATTTATTTCTAATGTTTAAATGTTATTTTATTATTATTATTATTATTAACAATTAAAAATGAATGTTTCAATAATTCAAATTAATTTTTAAAAATCAATAAATAATTCATGATTTCATCCCAAGAGAAATCTCTCGAAATTTAATAGCCACCAATTTACTATATGAAAAAACTTTAGTTTTTTTATTTTGTTTGCTTTTATTTCTTGAAATAATAAATATATATTTCATTAGAAAAAATAGACTGATTAAGCTATATGTATATTTCACATGTTAAAAGGATAAGGAAGCTATACTTATCAAATATATCTTATTCCCTGAAGTTATTGCTGTTGTTTCTTTAAACAATTCTTTGTATTCTTCACCATGTTGATAATGTATAAGACGAATAATTAACTATAATTTCTCAATGTATCTTGAATTAATATAATAAATTGTGTTAGTAATTGAATTTCGCACAAAAATGTATATGTATATAACCTAACAAATTATCAGTATAAATTTTATATCATGTTAAAATTTACATTCAAAATGAGCTGGGTGCTCTAATGGTTCATCATGTAATTAATAATATAAATCATAAATAAATAAACCTACTTACATTTCCTCATAATTTACAAAAAAAAAATCAAGTTTGTGTCACTTGAGATTATTATTATCTATATATGGTTGGCTCGGTCTAATGACCTCTTATTGCTGCGCCATGCGCTCAAATTTCAAAAATCGCGATTTCGTGATTTGTTAAAACGCAATAAAATTTTTTAAAAAATGGCTTCAGGTGAGTTTGGTTAAAAAATTATTTTCCTTACCGCCAAATTTAGTTATGATGGTCGAGTATTAGTCTAATTTAGTAATGATGATCAAAAACATGCCTAAATTTAGCAATGACCCTAGTGCTCAAATTTCTCATGAGCATAATAAAGTGCATGTTTTAAAAAAGAATAGAACCCTATAAAAAAATTAAATTTTTTGAGAAAATCTTTCTATTACATTAAAACTAAAGACACATTCTATCAATTAATAGAGCTATTTTTTTAAAAGGTAGAACAGAAAATGACTTCTATACTTTTAAAATTTGCCCAAAATTTAGGAGGTCTTTAAACCAAGCCAACTATAGACAAATTGAATATTTTAATATTAATATTTAATGTTAAAAGTGTGTTGAAATTATGGGAGCCTTTCAATAGAAAAATACCATAGCATGAAAAAATCAATTTTGTGTTAATGTCACCAGTATATATACAACTATTTGCTTAAAATATTTTTGGATTGGAAAAAAAATTGTAGAGAGATGAATCTGCTGTTGTTTCAAGGAAAAAAGTAATAGAAAACATCATAGTAAAGGGGTTTAAATTTCTTTTCACCTTTAATAATATATTTAAAGAAACATTTGTAAGTTATGATCCAGGACATAAAGGAGGAAGTGGTGGACAAGGAGGGGAAGGAGGCTTTGAAGGGAAACCTGGCTTTGTAGTCATTGATAGTCCATTTCAATTATCTGGAACTCCGGCTATTTCTAAAGTAGAGAGTAAGAAAGGTGTAAATGGAACAGGAGGGAAACCAGGAAAAGGTGGAAAAAATGTAAAATATTGTGGGGTATACATTAATGAAATGGTAATTCCTGAGATTAGAGGGTATAATGAATTTGGTATTGAATCTACTAAAGGAGCAATAGGAACAGGGATAGCAACAGCCACAGGAGGTGTTGTTGCCAAAGCAACAGCCAAAGAAATAGTTGTACAACAACCAGCCCGAATAACTATGAAGGAGGGGACAAAGCAATTAGTCTCAAAGGGGTGATGGTGGCAAAGTTCATCTGTTATAACAGCAGAAGGTAGTAAGGTAGCAATGCAAGAGGTATCTAAAGGCACTCTTAAGATTGTTTCTCAAGAGGCAGCTGAAAAAATAACAAAAGAAGGAGGCGAAGTTGTAGTAAAAAATTTTTTAAAAATAGGTGCTACTGAATCAGGTAAACATGTTGTAAAAGTTGGTGCTTCTACTGGTGCTTCTCTGATCAAAGGTATGGGCATAGGCTTAATAATCCAAGCAGCAGCATCTCTGTTAAGTGCACGTATATCAAGTGGTTGGAAAGAAAAGGTACACAAAGTAAATTGTGAATATGAATATGCTCCTAATGGAGATTCACCCAACTCATTTAATGACCAAGGTATTCAAAGACCTACTGATCATCTTGAACTTTCCATAAACAAAGAGAAAAATGATTGTTATAATAAATTTTATACACAGAGAAAAAATGATCATCTTCTTCCTGATGGTAAGTTTATTAAAGAACTGAACGTGGAGTTTTTATCAAAAAAAAAAGACCTAATTAATGTATTGTATTATTTATTATTACAGCGTGTCTCAATTTAGAAGACCTTGATTTTACATTTAGCAGATGAAATTTCAGAAACCCTTATTTAAATAGATTGTTATTAAAAATATTTGTCGCTTATTTTTCTTCACAAAAATCACTAAAAAATATATGAAGCGGAGATTTATATATAAATATATTTATTTATTAATTAAAAAATAATAATTGACGTTTGTTAAATTGTTAAATTGTTATACACTCCAAGTTTTTATGCAAAACAATAGAAAAAACATGGAAATCAAAAAAAACATTTGCATTATATTAAAAAAAAAGGAAAGCTATGTAGAAAGTTGGAATTTTGAAGGTTTCCCATTATCAATTTCTGTGTTGTCGATAGTACATACAGTACCTGGACAAAAGTATCGGAACACTTGCTTTTGTTAATTGCGCAAAAATATACATAATAAACATATATGAAATTTATATCATTTGCGGTTTAGGTTCTTGTGAATATCTATGG